AGACAGACAGACAGACAGACAGACAGACAGACAGACAGACAGACAGAGAGATAGATAGATAGATAGATGGGTAGGTAGATAGATGGATAGATAGATAGATAGATAGATAGATGACTACTTATATATATATATATGACTCATGACGTCGCCTTTTTGCTGGCAGCCCTGGCCGAATCCAGTCAGCCTGGGTCCACGGCCCAAAGATCTACACACGCAGGTGCCAAAGTCAAGGCCTCTGAGTGAGAAAGGCGCAGAGTTGATAAGAAAGAGAAGAATAAAGACTGTGTTTGGATCGTTTAATAAAGGCCCCTTTAAAGGAAAAAGACTGTGTTTTGGATGACTCACTCACTCCTTTGCTAGCCCAAGCTACTCCCGCTGGACCTCCCCTTCTGCGCCGCGGGATCAAAAGTCCGTGCCCCGGCTAAGACGTGCCCGTTCACTCTTCCAATTCAACGAATGCCGCTTTTCGACGCGCCGTAGTATGCATTGCAAACTTCAAAAACAAACACATAATTGCTTCTTTTCAAACACACGCCGTACTCGCGCGCGGCGCGACGCTGACTATGGAGAAGGTCTTCCTGCGCGCGCGCGCGCGGGCGCGCGCAGGTGGGTATCCCACCACTCGAACTCAGATGGTATTTCCCCTTCGCTAACGCTGATGTTGCCTTCCAACTTCCATAAGATGCATACCTTCCTGCGTGTGACAAACACATGCCATTGCCTTGTGATGATGACCTACACCAACATACAACGTATCGCGTTTCTCTTTCACTACGTCTTTCATACCAAACAACTCCCAAAGCCGCCCGGCTTGCTTTTCTGCACCCTCCATCACCATTACATACGCCCCCTCGCATCCGTGGCACCGCATATGTGTTGTGCCGCGACGCCCGCCAGAAAAAGGGACACTCGTCTGGCGGCTGCTGGCTTTCGTCCCCCCCTTCTCAGGTATATATATATATAACTTGCATTGAGGGAACAAGTATCATGGTGTTTGTGGCTTCGAGGAGCTTTCTGCCCACTGCCAAACTCGCTTTCCAAGCTCTACCTGCCAACAGCCAACATTATCCAGAAGTTTTTTCAAGGAGTTCTGATCTCCACAAAAAAGATCACATGTTTTTTCTGTTTTAGGAGCTTCTTGTAAGCAGAATCATGATGGGACCTATAGGACCTTCAATACCGAACTATTTTTGTCAGACAATGCGCACATGACGGTTCTCTGACGTGATTTATTCTCAGGGCTGTTTGCTGTTGTGCGTTCCTGTTCCATCATTGCTGCCTTGACGAGGTAGCTCTCCGCCTTTGGAATCATTTTCGCAAAGGCCAGCCAGAATGACGCGGGCTTAGTCTGTTTTGAAGACACTGAACTCGTTTTTCAGTGTGAGAGAGGGGGAACACTGCACTAGGATACTTCAATGGTTTGATTGCGAGAAGGTTTGTTGGCTTGACTTAAAGATGCCAGAACATACTCATTCGAACTTGAAGTTCTTCTTTTGTGCCGGTACCTTGAGCCTTGTACATCAATGAAATCGTGCGTGCCAAGCCCAATCAATATGCATACATAGCAACCCGGTATAACAAGTGCTTCCGCTGGAATTTTTTTTGCATCGAGCTGCTAGGTGCGAGTGAGAACTTGGAGGTGTGTTGGGATACAAGGCATCAAGGCCTTGATCAGCTAATCAAGTACTACAGCCCCTTGGCGGCAATGGCTTTGCAAGGTCACTGTGTACTGAGTGTTGCTGCGATGCAATCGCAGAGCCCAGTCCAGAGCTGTTGATACTATCTCAGTGTGAACCTGAGGAAACAACAGTGTGATGCATCCTCTTCTTCCAGAGCATTGCAAGCCGATGCTACTTCTTTCCGGTGAGAAGGTGGATTTTCCCCCTCCGACTAAGGCAAGGTTACGTGAATCGGCATTACATGGGAATGACAGTTATCAGAACTTGATTTGTCAAGGTGGATGGCAACAGTAAGCAGTTGGTGGAAGCAGTCTTCGGAAGCAGTCTTTGGGAATCATTCCAACCCCTGGAATTGTTTCGGGGTTGAAATAGTAAAGACACTTCTCCCAGAGTTCCTTTCGATATTATATACATTTTTTCTCCCAACTGCCACCACCACGACCACTCTTTTGATCAAGTACACTTTTTGAGTATTGTCGAGACTCCAGGCTGATCCAGTTTATCAACAATCCCTACTATATAAACTACAATACTATACACACACAATATATATATATATTTATCTATCAAAACATTTCCAAGAGTAGTCTTCCAAGGGGAGATGTGCACAATTTTATGAATTGTTTAGGCTTTGGGCTTCCTAGCGCTCCCTGTTCTTTCCTATTGTTTGTCCATCTTTGGTTATGACACTCTGGGCTGATCAGTTTTTTTTTTTTTTTTAAACTCAACCATCCTTCTTAAAACAATATCAACATTCTTCCGAAAACCGTTGACCGAGGGGGTAGTTCACTGGCATCCTGGAATTGATGTATATTGAAGTTCTGACAGAACAACAATGTTCCCGCTGATTTCCTTTCATTTCCTTTGATTTCTGACCGTAGGAATTCAGAAAAATACAGGAACGGATTTCTTTTTGACTTTCAGATTTCATTTGTTTCCTTTTATGAGGACAGATCAGCGTTTTCCTTTTCTTTCCAAACACAATTCCTCGACCACGCTGTCTCGATTTGTTTTGGGTGAGGTGGTCCTTACACTGATATGATTCCTTTCCCTCTACTCAGACCCCCACTCGAACCCTAGTCATGTGATTTGCCGAGCCATGCGGAGCCATGCGGAGCCAAAGCGTGCCAGGCTTTGACAACCCCAAAGTCGCTCAGAGGCTGGGAGCGCTGCAAGTGCTTTTGTTCGCCCATTTAGTCTGGTGGGACTTGACTAGAAGGCTTTCACTTCCACACCAGCAAAGGCCACTGAGAAGGTTTGCAAGCTATTCTTCACATACTGTAATGCTTTGTGCAGTCTTCCTCCCCACCTCTGGGTGCGTCAAGTAAGGTGTTCCACACTCCGCACTTCGAATTGAGGTCCTGCAAGGAGGTTTCGTGTCAACATGCTAGACACTTCTTACAAATGCCATGCTAGAAAAGTCGTGCACCTCCCGTAGTCATCAAGATACTAGAGTGTTGAGTCTGGGGAAGGCTTGGGTTCACGTCTGAGTCTATCATCATAGTTTACATTTGTACATTTTGGCTCAAGAGCCAAATGGACGGTGGAGTTTCTTTCCCACCCACCCATCCTTGTAGCCAGCCCCACGTGGGTGTCCCGCTAATTGGGATGTCTTCGCATCATGGGATGCTCTCCACTTGTGGTTACCCAGGTTCGGGATCGTGCTTGGTACACACACCTTATGGATACAGGGAGTGAACAAGTGGAGGCGTGACAGAGGCATACCAACGCCTAATCCCTGGGAACAGCGTGAGACCACCGGGAGTGGAGTGGGAAAGGAAATGAAGAGCGCGCTGCGGGATACCGACTGGCCGATACAGGTAGCTCATGATGTAACGCGTGCTATTGTCCACAGTACTGAGGATAGCTTCAGCCAAAGTGCTTGGCACTACAGCAGTGCAACAGACCGGAGGGTCTACAACCTGCGATCCTCTTGAGAGTGCCACTTGTGCGCAGGTAGCAAGTTCCGGAAGTCTTGGGGAGATGCGAAGGACAAGTTGGTGAATGACCTCTTATTCTACCTCAAGGCACATCCTTGTTGGATGCACTTTCAAGATGACACATGGCTGTAAGAACGCATCAAGTCATGAGGAGGACCTTGTATGCTGCAAAGTTGGATATTGAACAACTCAAGAAGTCTTGACTGCTCCTAAGTCAAGGCTTTTGCTTAGACATAGACTCTTAATATATATCTTGCCAAACTCTGCATTTTTGTTGTGTCAGCCAGCCAGAAATGATGCCTTCATTTTCAGAAAAACTGGTGTGATGGCAGGAAGCAGAGGCTAAGACCTCTCAATGAAGCACAAATACCCTTGGCACTCAGCTCAGCTCAGTTGAATGTTGAATTCATGGATACCCGATTTTCATAAAACTTACCAAGTAAACTCAAGCTGCTTGAGCAACATTCTGCTTGACGTTGTCCAGAAGGTTTTGAACGGTTAGACCAGACCTCATTGCTCAGGATCAATGGATGCACGGAGATGTTTGATTGCTCCACAATGCATGGATGTCCGCCAGTGGGAGTGCAAATTGACAAGTTTGGCACTCGGTTTGGATAGCTGGTGCTTGTTGGTTGTGGTCTTGTCACTGCAGCGAACGACTTTAATATTGGCATTTGCTGCGATCCCCACTCGTACTTGGTAAACCTAACATGCGTAGAATCTAAAACCAAAACGAGGCGTGTTTCTGAGCAGGTTGACAGATTGAATGGGTAGACAGCGAATCCCAGAAGATGGTTTAAACATGTTTAAACTTAACCTCAAACCTCTAAACAACTGGTTTCTAAGTATGAACTTTGCCTGGCCATCAAAGAAAACAACCCGGTTCGTTCATTTTGCAAGCACACAGCTTTATAGATGTAGCTATAGACATTGCAAACAAATTTGATTGAACCGACCGGTCAAAGTGAATTTGCTGCATTTTGCTCCAACACGATTTTTTCCGAGCAACAATCATGCAATTGAGCCAAAGGGGTCCCTCTTGGACCTCTTGGATATTTACTTGTTGTACATTTGCAACGGTCAGTTCGTATTTCTGAATTTGACACAGCGCTGCGACATTATGGACCACACCAATAGCTGCGATAGCTCGCTAGTTTTGTTTTTTGTCGCGAAGAGGATGCCTTGAGCCACTCTTCCTGGGCCGTGAGATAAAACGTGAGCCTGCAGGAAGGATGTGGAGCTGGCATACCTTTTGCCGTTCCAGCGGATCATCACGGTCTCGTTTGCTTTGGGGCTGGACAACTGACAACATGCCAACTAGATTGTAGGTCCCAACTTTTATTCTTTTGACGAGACGATGTATGAACAAGTTTCTCCGGGGCATGCCTGAACCTTTTGAACTTTTGACTGGTCTGAAACAGAATTCAGGAATTTGGTTTCAAACTATGGAGTGTTGATGCAGCAAAAGTGTTCCAGGACGCTTCTTTTCCTTGTCCGCTTTAATGTAGCCTTAGCCTACTCAGGGAGAGTTGATTCTGCCGCGATCATCGACTGACCTTCTTAGTCGAGGGGTTGAACTTACATAGAAGATATATGAAGATATGTGGTGTCAGATGTCAGCTGTCCAATTCAAGTCCCAACCTGCCTCGTTTTTTGCCCGTTACTTAGATTCGATCTGCACGGCAAAAGACTGTGCACACTCGAAAAGTGGCGAAATGAAGAGTGATGAGATGAGGGCGCTCCACTGTTCGAAGCAGTCCGCCTGTTGGCTTTTGGATTCAGCGCTGGAAAGTGGTGCTTTCTATCAGTGTCTTCAGCGTTCGGCGTGGTATTTGGTGTTCGTGGGGCGGCAGGCTTGTCAAAAGGTTGGCTAGCAAAACCCTCAGGGAACAACATTGTGGACAAATCAACACCAAGAACCCCTGCTAATCCGTGTCTCAAAAGATGATCCCTCTGACCAGACCTTGGCTTATCAAGCTGGATTTGAGCTGGCGATGTGAATAAATCGCTTTTGAGAGGAAGGTATATAGCAATCATCAAATTATAGTCTTCTTTTCGCGCCTTGAATTCCTTTCCTTTCGGGCAGCTTTGTCAACGGCACGTTGCTGCAATTGATCGGCACCGGCGTCTGCACAAGCAGTATTGTCGCGCGCACAATGGTGCAGATGCAACGGCTTCCCCACAAATAGCTGGTGTAAGGTCTCACACTCGATACTACATAGGTTTTGCCCCTCTAACCTGTCAAGAAGGGAATCTTTGGCATGATGCAATCAAGCTACTTCCGTCACCCAGGCACACTGTCCAATACAGTAAGCATGTTTGGAGGCTTTGCTTTCTGGTTGATCATGATGGTGGAACTGGTGGAAAGCCATTGACCAATCCGGACATCTTCCAAAGCGCTGGCGGGCTTGATCCCACCACCAGAGAGAGCAAACGGTCCCAACTCGACTCGATTGAGCACCAAGGGTAGAAGCTTTTAGTAACAAGGGCATCGCTACTAGGAACAAGGGCATCGCTACTAGTAGCTAGAAGCTGACATTATTGAATTATAGGTAGCTGACATCGTGGGTGGCGGGTTCGGCCGGCGAGCTGCTCATGACGTGCTAGCAGAGAGTGAGATGAAGTTTCCAAAATACTCCCGCGTGATGACTGCTAGACACGTGTCAGGAGGGCGGGAGTTTCGATAGTTGGGACATCAAAGGGCTTGGCCTGCCACGTCTTCCAAGCCAAACCCAAGAGCATGAGCTACAAAAGAAAGCAGCCGCGTGAGTGTCGCAGTTCTCTTTTCCAAGTCCATGCGATTTAGATCATTCTGTTGGGGGTGCTTCTGTCCACAGTGTATCGTATTGCTGGAACACGTGCGTGGAAAGACCGCTTCTGTTTGGAGGTTTAGAGTATGATTCGAGGGTCTTGGTTTCCTCAGCGATTGCTCTATGCACTTTCTTGACAAGGGGGACCAAGGTGCCTTTATTCGGAACGCTTGATGGATGAAGGACAAATGATGATAAGAAAACTTGAGGGACCAGAACCTGTGATGATGTGTAGGTTCCGCCATTCTGCCAAGGAGAGTTTTACTTCACCTTGGATGCCTCCAGAGCCGAATGTACGTTGAAGTGCAGGGGCCCAGTCAACATCCCAGCTCTAAAGTCAGACCTTCAAAAGTTCCAACTAGCAAATGAACAATATTAATGTTACTGATGTTGCAGCTTGGTGTCCTTTGACAGTTACATGGAGCTGATAGATGGCCTTTGTCAATTGGTGGTATCACAGATGCTTGCTTGCTATTTTCTTTTTCAATGTTTGGCCACTACCAAACATTTTCAGATTCTTGAGATTTTGTGTGAATAGATGCAGCTGACGGAGCTCCGCTGATCCAAAAATAGGAGCTGGAACGATGCCCATACACAGACTACGATGAACTGTGAAGGTGATGGACTATTCAGAAGGGATTGAAGTTGAGAACTTGCTTATCTACTATATATTCTGCGTGCCACCCTTGCTTTCTCACCCTGAAGATGTCCGAACAGCAAATCTCTTTGGGCGTTGTTGTCCATTTCCCTGTGTGATTATTTCGTTGAGTTTGCTGAAGGTTTGTGGTTTCTTTCGGCAACATCAAAGTCAAAGTGGAAGACATTTTCTCGCCCAAGGCTGGAAGAGCTTTTTATTTGACAGCATTTGTAGAAGGGAAGAGGATTTGGCTTGCAGGATCAGTGGACATTTTCTACATAATTTCCTTTCTTTTCCATTCCCAACAGTGCCTGTGAAGGGTTGTTGAACAAACCAACTCTCAACTTCAACTCTAATATCATCACCGTCAACACCTATCTATCACCTGCATCAACATCATTTCCGTTGTCGACCTTTGTCTCATTTCTCTCTTAAAGCGGCGCGGTGGTTCGGATCGGCAGCACGCAACGCAACCCTTTCGGTGTTCAGCGTGTGTTGGATGAACAGTTTGTTTGCCCTTGTCCTTGTGCAACCCTTTGTCTCGTGGGAAATGTTTGCTTTGGAGAACTTTGGAGACCTCTCGTCGCACTTTAGGAGGAGCTGTAGCCAGTTTTGGGTTGAGAGGGAGGGCCACCTTTTTTCTGCAAGACTGCTATCAACGTCAAGGAAGTCTCTCTTGATCTTAGTGAGCACATGATTTTGTGCAGCAAATGCAGGTTAAGTTTCTTCTCTAAAAATGCCTTGTTCTTCGCACTGTGCATAAGACCGTGTGTATGAAGGAACTTCTTCAGTCCGTGTGTTCTCTTTTCTCTGTCTTGACTTGATTCAGCTCCAATGGTCCATGGTCAACGCTTCTTTTTGTTATCTTTGCTGCAGCATCACTGCTGTCGGGACTCCGTTTCCTTTGTTTATCTTTGAACTTAATTTCAATCGGGGCTCAGTCGGTGTAGGAGCCTGATCAGATTACTGTAGATGATACTGTATCTTGCAGGCTGCTTCTTTCTCGTTTCTTCTGTACGCGAGATGACATTTTGATTCTTTGCTTTCCTTTCTCAAGAATTCCTTGGATGGCAAATGTTGTGGAACCAATTCAAAGCACACCTTAAATTGCTGATTCAAACTTGAAGTACGGTGGCACCGGGCCTTTGTGATGCAAGGCCCCAAAGCCTGGCATGTACTGTACGTGCAAGTTAATTCGAACAAAACAGCTACTTCATGGGTGCAGAAAATGACATTGACAGGGCGGCCAATCTTCCGTAGCGTGTGGCCCACGGTTGCACCTGAGCTTGTTTCCCAGCCTGTTCGAAACCCCGTGGCTTGTTCGTGGACTATGTCGGCCATGGTATGTCTTGAAGCCTGTTTCCAGTCAGTCACATAGTCATATCATAATTGCAGCCTGCCAACATGGTAGCATGCTTGTATGTTGGCGTTGTGGCATGGCGGCGTGCTAGTTGCTAGCATTCAAACATGGTGCTCTTGAACCTTTTACGCTTCTGTAGGTATAGATTACTTGGTCAGAACGTGTTTGCCATACTCTCAAATGTTGAAGTCGTGGTGACATTCAATTTTTGAAGCGTTTACTTGGGGATTTGAATCTATGGAAGTCGTGGCGATGTTGCGTTTAGTTGGGGAGAAGACAAGGCAGCAGCGGCAAACAAAACAACGATCAAGCAAAACGCCAATCGCACAGGCAAACGAGTGGGGAGGCAGGTGGAGGAACAAGTAAGGAGACAAGGCAGCAGCGGCAGCCAAAACGCCGATCACAGCAGACAAGGGGGGGAGACAAGAAAGAAGGAAGGCAGGAAAGAACAAAAGAAGAACAGGGGCGAGAGCATATACATGATGAGGTAACTAGAGGTTTTCATTCTGAGGGCTTTCCTTGGTGGCACGGGTTCTGACCTCGTTCACCCTC